ATACAAATCTTTATATTACTATATCACTGAATATGGCTTGTGATCATTCAAATATTGTCCGAAACGTGGCGGCAGTTATTGATGAACGATGATTGATTATGTCACTAAGATAGAGGTAGGTGCGTAAAGATGTCGCTGTTTATTTAGGAGTGATGGTAGTGGAGTAGAGTGTAAGACCAATGGCGAAGATGCCATTGTTTGAACAATGGGTATTGTGTTAACAATGGTCACGGTTTGTGAGGGATGGGTATAAAAGGAGCTGTTTCGTTTGCTTTTGTATCATTCATCATTCATCATCTTCTACAATATTCAATTTATAATGTCTTCATTATCATCATCTTCTTCAAGTGCACCAACACCAACGAGTTCATCAACATTATTAATGGGCGCGCCGACAGATTATCGTCGTTTACCAAAATGTCCGCGTACAGCAAGTGCCATAGCGCAACGGATTATAGAAGCAGCCGTGGTTCCTTCCAGTGAACCAGCTACTGTGCCATTACCAACTCAACTGGACATGATCCGTATTTATAACGATAAAAATGTTTTATTTTTAGGCGATAGTGGTGCACGGTTTGTGTATCGCGATTTATATCGCATTTTACACAAGGATACAAGGATAAGCCGTGTGGATATCGAACGGCAATGGAACCACCATCCATGTTATATACGTAAGTGTCAATTTCTTAAAAAAAAACGAACTCCACAGCTATTGTTTTTTTCCTTTATTGAAGATGAATCGCCGATGAAGTTGGTTGGTAAAGATGGTGTGTCTGTTGAGACGAATTGTCGAATGTTTAAAAAACCGGAACTATCGACGACACTTTACTTTATTCCGGTGGATACTGTGATAGGTGACAATTGCCCTATTAATGTTGGGTATTTACAGGCAATGACAGAAAAAAAGCCGATCCACTTTATAGTTGTGTCCTGCGCATATCGTGATTTGTGCCCGTAAGTATTCACCATCTATAGCTCTTTTTGATAAATTAATATTTTTACTTTTATTTTTATTTTTAAATAGTCGGCGGCTCACGGACTGCAAAGGAGATTTTGACGGGATTTTTGCTGATTTTCAGCTTAAATTCCCCAATATCTGCACGCAAATTCGTGAAGCATTTCCATCTACGTCGACGCACGATCCGGTAATCATCTGGCTACCACCAGCACCAGCTCGCCTTTTAACTGCTATTGAAGATGATCAATTTCAGTTATTAGTCAACACTTGCACCAAAATAATTAAACAGCATAAGTTTGAATTAATAGAAACGATGGAACCATGGGTGGAAAAGCGTAAAGACCTGTACAATGAAACAACACATTTTCTTTCACCTGAAGGTAAGTTAAAAAAATTGATTTAACGTTTAAAACCATTTATATTACGACTTGCATTTCTTTTTCTTTTCAGGCGTTCGTAGCCTTACCATTGCAATTACAAGACAGGCCCTCAAGATATTGGGTGGACCATTGATTATGTATCCAATTCCAATATTACCACAATCATTACTACTTCGTACCAATCCAAGTAATAAGAGGAAGCTAAGCGATTATAATAAACGCAAAGACGATTCATAATCACTTCGAAAACTTAAACTAGCTTTTCTTTTGTTAATATTTTTGTTAAATAAAACTTCTTTCTTATTATTATAAATTTAATTTCAACACTAAACTGAAATTCAAATTAGATAGGCATTGAATAAAATCGACGAGAAGAAAAATATAATTCTTAAAAATCCAAATATATCTGGAATACATATAGTATTTCAAGTATTTCAATTAATTCAAATGATATCTAGAGATTTGTAAAGTAGAAATGGTAGTTGGAGTATTGGAATTAACTCAAATCATATCAAGATACTTCTGAATCTACAGATTTGTGTACTAGAAATGGAACTTAGAGTATTGGAAGTAATAGGA